TTGCCAGAATATTACCACTGAATCTATTGTCTGTCATATGTTTGTTTCTGAACAGTTTACCTAACTTCTTCTCGACAAATTATAATGTGGAAAATCTTGCTGAGTGTCAGTATTATGTGTTTTTTAATTAGTAGAATCACCCATTGTATATTTCTCTGACTCACATCTCCAACATTTATAAAGCGGCTTTTTAATTGAGCTTAAGACAAACAAGTCCTGTTCTTATACATATTTACATATTTAATCTATGTACTTAAAACATCATATTTGCCAGGACGTGACAAGATCTTATTATAAGTGTAACGTGTACGTGAGGCAGATGTGAAATATTAGCACATTTGCATCATCAACAAGGACATTTTTTGGCCAGTTTCCTGTACATGAACAATTTAGTTTTATAATTTGAAAGCAGCCTCTTTGACTGTGTTGAAAACTATGAAAAGCAGAAAATATTTACGTAGGGGCACTTGCGCTACTTTATATTGAGACTCTGTGTTCCTAGAAAGACAGGGATTAAGTGCTATTTTGGCAAAGAACAGCAGAAACAAGAATTACATGTACCTGTCAGTTTAATGCTTATGCATTTTGTAAAAAAAAAAAAAAAACAAATACAGATGTGATCTTGAAAGGTTCTAGTATGCGGACCTACTGATCTTGTATTTAGACAACTTGTTTGATATATAGCATGGCATCATATACAAAGTAGAAGGCTCTGCAGATATGTTTGCCAAAAGTATAAATCACTAGGTTATATGGACTGTAGTTTTAACACTAATGCAATGCTCCTAGAGTCTTTTTCCTAGTTTACATATTGTTAAGAATTGTTCATGGTTTTCTCCGAACCATTTTTCCAGTGGGTACTCTTGCTCTGCTTGACCAGTGTTCACAATACTGCTAAACAGAATGAGATGCTACAGTATTTTAGAAAAACTAACTCAAAATAATATGATTATTTTGCCACATGATGACCTTAGGTGTAGCAGATATGACCTAAACAACTTCAACAACAAATTTTTAGAGTGTATCTCCTAGGCCCCGCTTCTCTCCACCATTACTGTCATTATTACCAGTGTAGCACTCTCCTAGTTAGCTAGGGAGAGCTAGATAAATATTTTTTATTGTTGGAGGCTGAATAGCAGCCTGTGCAATAGTCAGAGGGTCAAATTTGGGTCAGGGCTGAGAGGCTCTGCAGATCAATTCTCTGAAACCTCCCCCTGATCTAGAGACGTGGAGAAGTCTCTAGAATTCAGTGAGCAGGGGTGAGGAGGAGCTGGTCTGCACTCTCAAGGGATCCTGGCCAATCCCCAAGTAGGAGGTTTGGCATGGGATCAGGACAGCCCCTAAAAGTGGTTGAGCTTGCTCAGTAGCAGAAAAGTTTGGGTATAAGATGTGAGGGCAGGAACTGGAGAGTGGAGCTTGGGAGGAGGCCCAGGGAAGGGACCTGCCTGCAGGAGAGCTGTGGACAGAAGGAAATATGGCCCCCTGAGAGAGGACAGTGATGGAAAGCCTTTCACCCGGATTGGTTGATTCCGTCAGAGAACTGCCTCCTCACGGCTGGGACACAGGACCATGGTATTATAGCTGGTCATTGCACCCGAGAACTATACCACATTAGCTTAGGTGCAACTGTAACTACATTATTGAACAGGAACATATGTTTTTATATACTTCAGAAAAAGGGGCAGCCACCACATGAACAATAAAACAAATATTACACATTGGGATAAACATCCCACACTAATTAGGTTAGAGCTTGATCACGTTATCCTGAGCAATGCAAATGGTAAACAGTACAGCCAACAGCTAACAGTGATCTAATTAACAGTAAGCTAATCAACAGCCAGACACCCAGCCAATGCTTTGATTAATCAGGGAGCACACCCCAGATAGAACGGCAACAAGCCCACCCTTAAATACACAAAGTGCATTACACATGCTGTCTATCGGGTGTTTGCTTTCACTTGTAAAATCTGTCCATCATAAGACAAAACTCATACAATATTCTAACAATTTGAAAATGTGGAAATCATTTATCTTCATAGATTTCTTAAGAGAGATTGTTGATAAACATTTCTGTCCCAAATAGAGGAGCTTCTCCAACCCAGTCTGGATGAGGGCCATCATATTTCCTCTGACCATTAACCTGTACAAGATTAATATCACGCCTTTCCATCCACTCCAGAAGGGAAGATTTATTGTCTTTATGTAGAGAATTAATCCAAGCCTCGCTCTCAGCATTCATCATTAGATAATCATCTGCTCTCTCCATGGGCCATAATCATTGGGTAGAAAGCTAGCCCCAAGTCCCTTCCAAAAGCCCTTGTCCCGGTTGGGTCTGTCACAAGGACCATCTATGGAACTAAGAAAGGAGCTAGCGCAGCAGAAGGCCTGAAAGCAACTACCAAGCTGAAGCCTACAAAAGAGGGACAGTGAATAATTCCAACCCCCCTGGATGGGAATAGTGGAGAGGGCATTTGGGTGGGAAACCTGACTAGCCCCAGCTGGACTGTGCTTTTAAAGTGTCAGACTCTAGATCCTCTTGTCCAGGGATTTCAAAACCAGGAGAGGCTGACTAGCTCTCCAAAAAAGAGAAGACCCTTCTGAGCACTTGTACATAGTTTCAGGAAGTTGTCCTCAGTTCAAACGTTCCTTGGGCATTCCATGTATCCCTCACTCCCATCCAAATTTAAATCACCTACTAAACTGCCCCCCAAAAAAACAAGTTCAAGGACTGTTTACTGTCTCTGGAGTGCAAGCCTACAAGGAGACGCATGTTGCCTGGCTGTGCATGACTATAGGGGGACCCAAATCTCTAGCGACTCCTAAGGGGGTTGTGCTACACCAGTGTTCACAATACTTCGAAAAAGCATGAGATGCTACAGTATTTTAGAAAAATTAACTCCTCGCCACCATTACTGCCATTATTACCACTATTCTCGGAACTTCAAAATGCCAGCTAGGACTTGCTGTGTATCACAAAGCAGGTGTAACTGTCAACATTTAGTTGTTCCACGGTAAAATAACAATTGCAGATAGAGTCATTGAGTAACACATTATTATTAATGTTTTATTGGTACATCATATTTAACATTTCACTTATATGTCAATCAAAGGAGTAACTTTTGTTCTATACATGACATTATATATGATATCAAACCAGCGCTACAAAATGTATTCAAATATATAATCAAAGTTTATCAACTGATCTTTTCTCTTTAAATTATCACCAGATTTCAAGACCCTTCACACATATGGGTCAAATAAAGTGTCATAGAATAAACTTTGATGTGCGTCTCCTTCTCTTCCTCAAACCGTCATTACTTTAGAAGTATGGAAGCAATAAAAATAAATGAAATATATATATTGTACTAAATTCTAATTATTAGACCTAAAGCCAAATATGTTGTGTTCACATTTAAATAAGAAATATGTGCCTCAAACCAAATGCTCTTCCATGCAAGCCCCTAGCTCCTTTTGTCTTTCACTCTCACTGAAAAGGTTAAATCTTGCACACATTATGCACTCTCCACCGAATAATTTCCAGTAACGTTCCTGATCACCAAGGATTTGGCCAAAATAAATATCACTACAATATTGTGTTATCTCCTTTAAACCATACTAGTATTCCACATCAATATGCTCTCATTTAAATATATCTCAAATTGAAGATTGTCTTTTCCATGTGATAACCATCCACCGATTGCATGCAAAATACCCACATGAATATAGTGCACCTTAACGAACTCCATAGCTCACTGATCATAAGGGCTGCATAAGTTCATTTTTCTCAAACCAATCTCCGCTATCAGTGCGTATTCAATATCTCCCATAGGTACATACAGTGGTAGCCATGTCGAAAGATTAAAACAAATGACCATAGTATAGTAAATCAAGCAGTAAAACCATTTATTTAGCCTGTATATGCTTACATGTATAGGAACAGCCATAAAAAACATGGGTAGCCCAATTCCATTCCCTACACTTCCAGTTTTGGCACTGTTGGTCACTTGCATTTCACGTGCTTCATGTGCATTTCGTCAGGTTGACTTCATCAGCCATCATCATTTCCCTTTTGCATGTGTGATACTTTTTAATGGATTGTAACCAGATGCTTGGCTAGAGATAGAAAGTGATTTAGGACACTTTACTGCTGTACTTTCTGTATCTGCACTGGACTTCAGGCTGAATGGGTTAACACTACCTCACCTCCGCCCGCCTGAGGGAGCTGACAAGGCAGCAGTGAACCATGGGATATGTAGTTTGATAAGAGAACTCTGCTATGACAGTTAATGGACTGGAGAGCTACAATTTCCAGAGAGAGACTATTGTGAGGAGGAGAAAGGGCTGCATTTTGCTGGACCAACGACCAGACATTCTCTCTTTTGCTGCAAGGGGACCAGAGCATGCACATCTATACTCCTGAGTGTACACCATCCTGCCACAAGCCTGCAGCCTGAGCCAGAAATCAAAGTGCTGTTAAACAGTGTGCTTAAGGACCAGAGTCACTCCAGGAAAACACTAACCCATCAACCCACCTACATTTAGAACCTTTCAGTGTGATTCCAGATAATCCAGGGGGATTTCTGCATGCTGCTCAAGATCAACCAACCAGGAAATTCAGGCAGACCTATTATAACAGGTATGAATATACTTTCTTAACAAATATCAGGCCTTATGGAAAAATTGTTAAAACCATTGGTCATAAATACTTCTAGCTTCCTGCTAGATACACCTGAATTTCTGAACAAGATCAACACTATACAGCAATTACTACAGTGTACCATGGGATATGTAGTTCTTAGAAATGGAAAGTAAACAGCAGAGGAGAAACATTCAGGGAATCCAAAAAGTTGTGGAAAGAGCAGACAAGCACAACGCACAACAAGAACACTTTCCAAGTAAGCCTATATTGGATTGTCAAAAATAACTATTGTTCATATTTATTTTACAATGGTTGTCTTATCAAATGAAAGTGTATGCTGTGACCATAGATTTCCTTTAACCTCCCTGGAGGTATTCCCGAGTGTAGCTCAGGGTAAAGTTTCAGCACCACAAGCGGTAACCCCGACTACACTCAGGAATACCCTGCAGCGCTGCTCCGTGATCTCTTCTTCACTTACCTTGTCCTGCACTCTCGCGATGTCCCTCCTGCAGTGTCCCCGGCAATTTCCTCCGGCCGATGCCGGCGTCCGTCTTCTGGGTTCCGTTCCCTGCGACATCAGGACGTACGGGGACGGAACGGCGGGAAATTTAAAAATGTGAAAAAGTGACATTCACTAAATACACTAAAATCACATAGTAAAACATTACTGTATCAAACCATTTCACATACATTTTGTCCCTAGTGCTTTGTCCTGTGCCCTGCCTGCATTTTTACTGTTCTTTCTGCCTGGAAACTGAGAAACGTCCATGGCATCCAAAAAGCGTCCCTTTAGGTCAAAAGCGGTTTTAGACCAGCTAGAGAACAGCGATAGTAAATCAGAACCACTTGCAGAATTGAGTGATAATGATTTGTGGGGAAATTCGTCATCAGACATTGAAAACAATTTTGCCACTTTGCTCAGTGATGTGCGAACTTGGCGCTATATTTCAAATTTCAGTGTTTTTGGTTTGATTATATTATTGAATTAAATTTATTATTATTATATTATTATTTTTAATGATTATTTATTAATTTATAATGTATGATTTCGTGTTTCAAATTTTAACATACCCAGGATGTTTACTAGACTCTTGTTCGGACAGATTTCAGTGAGTTATTCCTAAAAATTACAGGCCTACAATAAAAAAATACATATTTCTATGCAATAAAAATGTATCGCTTTGAGCACAGAAATATGGACATAATCAGACCGCTAGGGAGGCTACGAAGCATTTTATACTTGTGAGAAAAAAGGTTCTATTTAATTAACCACTTGCTGACCACAGATAGCCGAATGACGGTTTCACCACAGCCAGCCAGTTCTGGGAGGGTGTCATATTCGTCATTGGACAGAACGATCACAAATGTAAACACAGCAAGGTCATGGCTGGGTTTTCTCTCTCCTTTCCTCACACCAATACCAAGTGTGAGGAAAGGAGAGAGAATTGGTTCCTAAACTGTGAGTGTGCTCATCAGTGCCCTATCTAGGCTAATCAGTGCCCATCTGTGCTCATCAGTGTCCGCCAGTGAGTGCATATCAGTGCTCATCGGTGCCCATCGTGCCCATCTGTGCTCATCGGTGCCCACCAGTGAGTGCCCATCTGTGCTCATCTGTGCTCATCAGTGCCCAGTGAGTGCATATAAGTGCCCATCAGTGCTCATTTGTGCCCCTCAGTGCCCATCTGTGCTTACCAGTGCCTACCAGTGAGTGCCCATATGTGCTCATCAGTGCCCATCTTTGCGCATCTGTGCCCATCTGTGCATATCAGTGTTCTTTGGTGCCCATCTGTGCATTTCAGTGCTCATTGGTGCCCATCTGTACATATCAGTGCTCATCAGTGCCCATCTGTGTATATCAGTGCTCATTTGTGCCCATCTGTGTACATCAGTGCTCATCGTTGCCCAGTTGTGCATATCAGTGCTCATCAGTGCCCAACTGTGCATATCGGTACTCATCAGTGCCCATCAGTGCCCATTAGTGGGGGCTCATCAGTGTCCACCAGTGCTGCCTTATCACTGCAGCTTCTCAGTGCTCATCAGTGCTGCTTCATCACTGCAGCTTATCAGTGCCCATCAGTGCTGCCCCATCACTGCAACTTATCGGTGCACATCAGTGCTCATCTGTTACCATCAGTGCTACCTAATTACTTCAGCTTATCAGTGTACATCAGTGCCACTTATTTGTACACATCAGTGCCACTCTATCCATCAGTGCACCCTCATCAGCACCCATCAGTGCATTTTGTGTAAAAAAAATAAGTTTTCATTTTCTTTTCTCATATTCCAAAAACATGTTCAAAAGACTCATTATGCCTCATAGAATATATGTCGGGGTGTTTTCTTCTCAAAATGGGGTCATTTTGTGGGTAATTCCATTGTCCTGGTTCTTCAGGGCCTTCAAAAGTGTAATAGGTAGTCAAGATATAAGATTTGTAATTTGTCCCTAGAACACCTGATAGCGCTCCTTTCATGTTGGGCCTCTCTATATGGTCAGGCTGTGGAAAAGTCTTACACATGTGGTATTGCCATACTCAGGAGAAGTAGCAGAAAGTATTTTGCAGTGTATTTTGTGGTATTTACATGTTATGCGTTAGAAATATCTTAAAAAATATACAACTTTGTGTAAACAAATCACGTTTTAATTTTCTTTCCACATTTTCTGAAAACTTGTGGAAAATAACGACAGGTTCAAAAGAATCATTATGCCTCATAAAAAATACGTTGGAGTGTTTGCTTTCCAAAACAGGGTCATTTTGTGGATGTTTCCTCTGTTCTGCTGCTCCAGGGCCTTCAAAAATGTGATAGGTTGTCAGGAAATTAGATGTGTAATTTTTGCCCCTAGAACGCCTAAAGGTGCTACTTGGATGTTGGGCCTCTGTATATGGCCAGTCTGTGAAAAAGTCTCACACATTTGGTATTGCCATACTCTTTTGGAAATAAAAGACATGTTCAAAAGACTCATTATGCCTCACGTAATATATGTTGGGGTGTTTTCTTCTCAAAATGGGGTCATTTTGTGGGTAATTCCATTGTCCTGGTACTTCAAGGCCTTAGAAAGTGTAATAGGTAGTCAAGATGCTATATGTGTAATTTATGTCCCTAGAACACTTGATGGTGCTCCTTGCATGTTGGGAATCTCTATGTGGTCAGGCTGTGGAAAAGTCTCACACATTTGGTATCATTATATTCAGGATGAGTAGCAGAAAGTATTTTGGGGTGTAGTTGCAAGTATGTCTGTGCTGTGTGTGAAAAATAACTTGTTAATATGACATTTTTGTGGGGAAAAAACAACAACTTAATATTCCAAAGAAATGTGGGAAAAAATTACAACTGCAAAAAACTCACCATGCCTCTTACTAAATACTTTGGAATGTCTACTTTCTAAAAAAGGGTCATTTAGGGGGTATTTGGACTGTCCTGGCTTGTTAGGGCCTCAAGAAATGAGAGGCCATCGGTACATCAGGTGTGATCAATTTTCAATGATTGGTACCATAGCTTGTAGACTCTATAGCTTTCACACAGACCAAAAATATGCACTGATTTGTGTTATTTTTACCGAAGAAATGTAGCAGTATAATATTTGGTCAAAATGTATGAAGAAAAATTACTTATTTGCAAAACTTTATAACAGAAACTAAGAAAAACGCATTTTTTTCAAAATTGTTGGTCTTTTTCCATTTATAGTACAAAAAATAAAAAACCCAGTGGTGATTAAATAAAACCTAAAGAAAGCTCTATTTGTGTGAAAAAAGGATGAACATTTTATATGTTACAGAGTTGCATGACTGAGTAATTGTTATTCAAAATGTGAGAGCACTGAAAAGTGAAAATTGGCCTGGGCAGGAAGGGGGTATGCCCGTTAGGCAAGTGGCTAAACACCATTGCATGATTTAAAGTGGTACCTAAAGGCACAAATTTTTTTACATTTATGCATTAAAAAAAACCTTCCAGTGCAGTGCCCCTCCCCCCATTCCCCCAATCCATAGCCCCCTCCAATCCAGTGATGTCCTCGACAGCCTCTGCTGTCTGGGAACTCTTTCTCCTCATTGGCTGAGACATCAACGGAAGTCCACTGCTGTGAATCACAGCCCATGAGGAGTGAACAGGGGCAGGGCATGTCTTATGGATGCATAGAGCAGCAGCTCAGGGATGAGCACATAGTGGTGCCCAGAGGGTGAGCAGCTTTCCTTGGTTGCACTGCTCGTGAAGGAGGAGCCAAGAATGCCAGAGGGGATCCGAAAAAAAGGGAGGATTGGGGATGCTCTGTGCAAAATCATTGTACAGAGCAGGTAAGTATAGACATGTTTGTTATTTTAGAAAAAAAAAAAAAAAAAAAAGCTTTAGGGTCACTTTAAGACCACTCACTGCCAGACAAGAAAATAAATGGATGTAAGGTATGTACAAAGGGATTTGTATTTAAAAGATTATAAAACCTGGCATCAGACTTTTACTTCAAGTGTCATTAGTTAGTTTTTATTAAGACTTGTGAAACAAAGGGAATGGCATCATAATAGTGTGATCACAGTGCTGTCATTGTGGAGTTGTGTGCAATGGCTCTGAAAGGGCTTTAAAATGCTTGTGTGTGTGGTTTGTGCAGCCTGTATTTGCTTTTTGTACATGTGATGTGTGTATGTATGTGTGCTGTGTCTCTACAACTGAAACTTGCATATGCTGTGAGCAGCTAGTGTGATCACTCTTTACTGTGCTTTATTCATCTCACCTTAGACTCCACAGACTGATATGCAGCTTAACAAGCACTCCCTTCATAGGCACTGGACATGGTCTATAATATGCTGGGACTTTTCACGTCAAAGCTTAACTGAGCCTACCCTTATAGTTAGCATGGAATATTGGAAAGATGTTTCTCTGGAAAGTTCTGATGGGTGGGGCAATAAGGGTAGAATAATGAAATCTGGATCATAAAATGCTTGATATTGTTGTTTACTGATATACGATTTTTAGGGAGTCTCCAAAAAAAACCTTGCTGTTTTCTTTTCAATTAGAATTTTTAAATGTACAATATATTATAATTTAATGAAATATTTGTAATATATTAAATATGTTCTGTCCCCACATGAAGGCGAATGAAGGTATATCTAATAATGGCTGTGTAACTTCCTACCTTCGTATCCAAGCAGTGGAGCAGACCGGACCGGCAGATGTTCAGGTTAGATGGATCCAAACGTATACACGGGAATGAAATCAGCGTGGGTTTATTTGGTCCAAAATACAGCGACAAACAGTGATACAATACTGTAAGGTAGTAGAGGTATTGATGCTGTCCTGCGATATCTTTCCTGAGGCTAACTGCTGGTCAAAAACTGATGCCTTCACAAGCCCAGGGTAATGAATGTCCTGTCACACAGCTATATAGCAGATAAAATGGCTGCAGGAAGTGACCAGAACCAAGGCTTGCCTAAAACCACGCCCAGCAGAGAAAACACTTACTAGCTATAACAAAGGCATGCAGCATGCAAATTCTGGCCAGCAGATGGCAGCAACAGATCCAGATCAAGACATAGAAACAACATGGTGAAATAAGAATTGGTGATACAATGCACAGTTAAATAACAAATATGAGGAGAACAGCACACTCCCCGTCTGAAATTCCATAAGGGATTTCACTATGACGAATGTCCATAAAATATAAAACAACCTGTAACAAAGAACATGTTAGAATGCAATAAACATA